CCGGTGAGATCTTGCAATGGGGAAAGAACTTCTTTAACCATTGTCTACTCTCAGTAAAGAAGTCCTCACATCCATCGTCTGTTCCAGCATCTACGGTTCCCCTTGCTTCCACTTCCGTCGAGAGTCCACCAGTCGACAACCTACCAGAGATCCCCACTCCTTACCGGCCGTTCCAGGATGTCTTCAATAAGCAGCTGGCTACCACCCTTCCACCTCATCGGCCATGGGACTGTGCGATTGACCTGCTGCCTGGGGCGGTACTACCGCATGGTAAGGTCTACCCATTGTCCATCCTTGAACAGAAGGCCATGGAGGAGTACATCGAGGAGGCGCTACAACAAGGTTACATCTGACCATCTACCTCCCCTGCCGCATCCAGCTTCTTCTTCGTCGGTAAGAAGGACGGAGGCTTGCGCCCCTGCATAGACTACCGGACTCTCAACCAATCTACAGTTAAATTTTGTTACCCCCTTCCTCTGGTCCCGGCCACATTAGAACAGCTTCGAGGTGCGCAACTATTCACCAAGCTGGACCTTCGTAGTGCCTATAACCTGATTCGGATTCGTAAAAGGAGACGAGTGGAAGACCGCGTTCATTACCCCTGCAGGCCACTATGAATATCTTGTAATGCCCTTCGGTCTGTCCAACTCACCTTCTGTGTTCCAGGGCTTCATGAATTAAATATTCCGTGATGTACTGAATCGCTTCGTCATCATCTATATCGACGACATCCTCATCTGCTCCGCCAACCTGCCTTAAACGCCTGAGAGATTTTCATCTATATTTGAAGTTGGAGAAATGTGAGTTCCATCAGAAAACCATCCAGTTCCTGGGTTATGTCATCACCCCACAAGGTGTCACCATGGTCCAGAGGAAGGTGGACGCCATCACCCGTTGGCCGCGCCCTACCAACATCAAGGAACTCCAACGTTTCCTGGGCTTCGCCAACTTCTACCGTCGATTCATCAAAGGTTTCAGTCAGATCAGCGCTCCTATCACCTCTCTCCTCAAAAGCGGGGCCAAGTCTCTGTCCTGGACCACCCAGGCTACCAGCGCCTTCAAAGAACTGAAGAGGTCCTTCAGTTCTGCTCCTACCCTCGTCCTTCCGGATCCTGAGCTCCCATTCCTCGTAGAAGTCGATGCCTCCACCACCGGGGTAGGAGCAGTACTTTCACAGCGGCAGGGGACACAACTCCGACTCAATCCATGCGCCTTCTTTTCCAAGAAACTGTCCCCGGCGGAGCAGAATTATGATATCGGTAACCGAGAACTGCTCGCCATCATGCTCGCTTTGGAGGAGCGGAGGCACTGGCTGGACGGAGCCAAGTATCCTTTCATCGTTATCACCGATCACCGCAATCTCGAATACTTACGTGAAGCCAGAAGATTGAATACCCGTCAGGCTCGCTGGGCGCTCTTCTACTAGCTAATTGGAAAGAGTGGAACATTTTTTTTTATCATTCTAAGCTAATCAAATACCTTAGGAAATTAACAACATGGTTAAAAAAAAGGATTTATATATACATAATGTATATAATGTTTGTGTGTGTGTGTCTGTGTGAGTAAACTCTATACTTAAAATTGCTCTTTCTTTTCCTTCTTGGACAACCAACCAATCACAGTCTTCAAAAGAGTGTGTCATACATAGCAACGGGGTCAGCCCCGCCTACTCACTAAGATGAAAGTTTTTATCTTTTCCTTACTTAGAGTTTCTCTCAGATCAGTCCCGAATCACTCTTAAGCTAAGACTCCTGCGTAAAAGTTTTTAAATTAAGAGTTTTCTGAGAGGATTCTTAGAATCTTTATGAATATGGGCCCAGGTTATTAGTTTAATTTGTCTGTTTACTGATCTTTTTTTTTTTTTTTAAATATATTGGTTAACCCTTTAATCAAGAAAATAATAAAAAAGTTTTTATGGACTCTCTATCAATGGGCTTCTCCCTTGACTTTATTCCTTCATGTCCCCCCGATTGCCTCAGACAGTAAAAGATTGCCTGCGAGCGTCTTCTTCTGTCTATACGGTAATGTCTCTACTGTGTGACAGAAAGTCCCGTGGTTATGGCGCAATCTTTAGCCCATTTTTATAAAAACGGCTTCTACGGGCCGTAATGTAAGATACAAAGTAATGGAGCATTTTATACATTGTCGTGTTTCTTAAATAAATAATGGACAAATTAAAGGAGCATTTCACCCATTTCAACATTAATCTTTATTGAAAGTGGATCATACATGTAGTCGAAATGTAAAATAATTTTTTAATTTGGTGCCCTCTTGACCAAGAAAAGACAGAAAATTACCGAGGGGTGCATTTGTATGTAAGACAACAACTCCCACAATGCACCACATTGCACAGCTCCGCAAGCCACACCCACTAATCCGGAACTGCGCACACATCAGAGAAATCACTCTTCCGTCTACAAGGCTAACATTAGCTGTCACCAGAATTTCTAGTTAGTTGGCTGTGGCAAGCAGGACGATCGAGGGCGAAGGACGTAAGAGGATGGCGCGAGGCCGGTGGCGTGAGTGATAATTAAAGACCTGTGAGGTATGCGACGGTCTCGCGTCTGTCATGGAGGAGCGAAAGCATAAAATGAGGAGCAACGACGGCAGATCGAGAGAGAAACAGGCCTGATTTTTTTATGTGTTTTGTTTCTGTTGTGTGTAACGTTACAGCAGTCGTCAATGAGGGGTTGCTGGCTTATACTTTTTTGTATTTGTTCATTTTACTATTAAAATGTTTAAATGTTCGCCGGTTCCCGCCTCCTTTTTCCCACAACAACAAACTCTGTTAACGTTACATTGGCAAACTCATTAGTGAATTACTCCTCATTTGTATTTATTTCTATATGGTGAATTACTGCATGATACATGTTCAGTCAGGCGAAACTAGGATGGTTCACATCACAGCACAAACGTCCATGTGCAAGAGTACATACACCGGCAGTCCGCCTCAGCTCGAGCGAGTCCGGGCTCCTGGACCGCGACAGGCAGCCGCCTCTTGTTCCTCCATCAGCCTCAGCTGCTCTTCACTATATTGCGGCTCATAAAGATAGCCACAAACATCGGATTCGAGCAGCAGAATTTCAAAATCTTCTTCTTCCATATCATGTTTAGTTTCTTCCGTCATTATCATACTTCCTATCTCCACAGCGCTTGTTAGCTTAGCTTCCAAACAAGATGGCGGATATTGATTTTAGTATCTGCAAGTGAAGTCCCACCCACTGATCTGTAATAAGCCTGTAGGGTGAGTGGGTCCCACACCCTTGAATAATAATGAGCTAATGTTTGTAGTAAGTCTCTACACATTTTAATGAAATATGACTTCCTACTTATTATGACACAAAATGACGATTTTTACGTCATAATAAGCAGGAAGTAAAACACTTAAATCCTTATTTCTCCCATCTCAGAGGAAAATAAGGGAATAAACCATGACCATTCAAAAATATGACAGGGTTTCTAAAGATTCAAAGCTTAATGCAAATGGGTGAAGTGTCCCTTTAAGTCTTTGGACACCTCAGATGTAAAGTTATTCGCTGTCAAAGTTAGTGACGCCAAAATGAATGGGAGTCAATGCATTCATACAATAGCGGCTCCCGCGAGGCTTCACCTTCCGGCTGATGGATTACCCCCTTGTGTAAATCTTTTGAACATCAATGTGAAAGACAACTGACCTTTCACCGGCCCCTCCCCTAAAACGGCCATACGCACAACCGGTGCTGCGTCATAGAACGTCTCTGAATAGGTTCACGCCCACTTTTGGGGGAAAACAAACTAGACTCCCCATAGACTTCAATACAAAATAACAGCAAAAAACAACGTCCGTACACAGCCGACAAGCGTAAATAACTTAAGAAATCACTTATATAAAACATGTCAAGTAATTATATGTCCACCCTGCCAGCCATACTGTAGAGCGTGAAAGATACATACACAAACCTAATTTGGCCAATTTAAAAAACACGTCCCTTTATTCTCCCAGCGTCAAATTGGTGTAACAACCCCACTCAGTGGCCAGAGGTGTCTTACCCGGACATTTAATTGTACCTCATCGAGTCACCAGGTAAGCCCCTGAATGATAATATATTATGAATGTATGATGATGATGGCAGGTAGCCTGGGCTAGTTGATTACTGGCATAAAAATGTATCTTTCACGCTCTATGGCAGGCAGGGTGGACGTATAATTACTTGACATGTTTTATATAAGTGATTTCTTAAGTTATTTACGCCTGTCGGCTGTGTACGGACGTTGGTTTTTGCCGTTATTTTGTATTGAAGTCTATGGGGAGTCTAGTTTGTTTCCCCCAAAAGGGGGCGTGGACAAAATTGACAGTTAAGTTCCCGGATGTGCCGGTTGTGCGTATTGTCCTATCACACATCATAGCAACTGTTACTATGTGAGCAGGTCCATCAAACATTGACTCGAAACAAGATGGTGAAGCGGTGCACCCACGGCATTTGTAAATCGGACACTAGCTACCCTGAGAGATTGTCTGGAGGAGTTGTGTTCTTTCCGTTTCCAAAGCTGAAAACACAATGTGAGCTGTGCCTACAATGGATAAAACAGTGTGGACAGCCCCACTCCCCAGTTAAATGTGTTGAACATGGTTAACTCGCGTGCAGCTTGAGACTGAGACACTGAGATAGTCAAAGAAACTTGGAGAAAGCGGATCAAGAGGATCCAAAAAAGAATTACGTTAAAGGGTTGTTGTTAACATTATATCCTCGGGAGGAAATGAGCAGCAGTCAACTAGCAGTGCAGCACCCATAGACTACAGTTTAGAGGAGTGCACGTTCGCAACGGGGAAAGCATGAAGCTTACTTTACAACATCAGTTCAAATATAACAATATCGTAACGATCAATATTTTAATTATAAACCACAAGATTACCTCTATCCAACACTGATCATTTCAGAAATAGGTTTTAATGTAAATAGTTTCACTGAAATACTTTCTAACAGAGTAAATATGCGACCAACAAGAAACACAAGACATACCTTTTGGTAGATGTTGTTTTCTCACTGAAGCTTGGCGGTCTACCATCTTTTGAATGGTCACTCTTCATAGACACCAAGCTGGAGTCAGGTGAGCCTGATCTTTCCCTAATACACAAAGAGCAAACAGAATCCATTTATTGCAGGAGGTCCCACTGTAACTGATATCCACATCTGCTATACAGTTCTGTTAGCTCACATAGCTACTGCTTTTTTAAGTTACGTTTTTAGGTTTTTATAAACAAAAATAAATCCACAACATTAATGATAAACTTCAGAGTCATTTTCAGTATATGAATCAGAATGTGCTTTTATTTGCCAGGTGTGCGCAAACACACAAGGAATTTATAGAGGAAATGCGTGTGACGTCACCGTCGGCCTGCAGTTCCTCACAGTGAGTGGCAAAAAGACTGAGCGGCTGTATATGTTTTCAGCGTAAATGCCGTGAAATACGAACACAACACATATAAAGAGGGAAAGAGCTTTGCAATTGACTCTACAACTAGATTTGAGGTATATTTTTACAGACTGCTATAGAAAGAGGAGCAAATCGATCGCTGCAATTCACAGAAACAACTGGACTCCAGTCAGCGAAAGGTGGATTTGCAGTTAATTTTGTGTCAATATGCTGAATTTAGGTGTAAAACCATACCCATGTATTTTGTATTGTTATATATATTAACAACTCATCAATTAAATATTTATTAGGGTGACCATATTTTGATTACCAAAAACCAGGACACTCGGCCCGGCAAACAGATGGGCCTACTCAAATGATACTCGAAGTTTACTCAAAGATACCTTATTAATTTCCTGATTAATTTCAATACATTTGAAGTAGGTTATGCCTCCCCTGTATGGATAGAAAATTGTTATATTGTTATTTGAAAACAGGACTTGTCCTGGGAAAACAGGACAGTTGGTCACCCTAATATTTATCACTGCATATTCTGCATTATTGGATGTTTTTTTAATAAACACTGACCAAAAAAAACTATAAAAGTTTTAGGGCTGGACGATATGATGATATATATAGGCTATATGTAACACTGATATAAGTGATCACCCAGATTTAGACCTACTTATATTGTATTTATATAAAGCGTTCACAGGCAAATTTGCTTTATGTTTAGGTCTATATTGCTTTTATTTCCCCGGTGTCGAAATCAGGCAAATATAAATGTCAGGCAACACGATTCCTGGCTGCATGTCAATATCCATGGTTCACTGGATCTTTAGTACGTTGTAAGGAACACTATATTGAGTCCAACATTTAGTTTAAATTGATAAAATTGTTCGTTTTAGTCGCATTTTCGCAGTTTCCCCTATTAAATCCAGTCACGCAGCAGATCTTTTGCACTCAGTCAGGCTGAGGGGGTTGTTCCGGTGGGAAAGTGATGCCAATGCATTCCCTCTATAGTGGTTTCACAGGAGCACTTGGTACATACAGACCTCGAGAACAGAAGAACAGTTAAATAAGAAATAAGAAACCAAACGAAGAAATAAATAATAATGTATACATTTAAAAACAGAAGAGAAGGCTTACGTACAGATTTTTAAATTATGTACTGTGTATATACAACCATATAAAAAAAATATGTACTGTATATGTATTGTGATGTTTGTACATCTTGTAATAAAATAAAGGAGCAAGCACAGACACAAGTGTTTTTTTTTCTCTTTGCTACTCATCAAGTGGCTACACAATAACTCTGCAGACACAACAATTCCCCTTTTCTTTGAAGCATTCGTACGCCAACTTTTCAAGCACTTACAATGTCCATTTTAAAGCTTTTTTGAGCACCACACACCACCGTAAATTACATACCAATACAGTCAGAATTAATATTTAGTGTTTTTATCGCATTAAAAGAGATAATGCTTAAGATAGGTTTTTTTTTTCATTCTGAACCTATACTATTTCTTATTTTTACTGTGTAGTGGTGACTGAGCATCTGATTTAATGTCAGGAGTGCAATAACAGTGTTTATTCATTCAGCCCGGCTATTGATAAAATTCTTTACTTGCAAATAATTAAGGCAATATCTCCACAAAAACAGCCTAAACTTCCTTCTTTTTAAAAGTCCTTTCACAAATTTAAGTGGGTGATCACCACCTTTTAAACAGTCACTCTTCACAGAATTATATACAGTTTAACTAAAACTATATAAATTATCATTTTTATCTTCACCGCAGACATCAACTTTGAACACACTCGTAATCTTTTGCGGTGTTTAACATTTGATTCGCCAATTTTTTTTAATTTTTTCACTCCAGAGATTCGATTGGATGGAAACAAGCTGTTTGTTCCAGAATTAGTGTAAATTGTGTAAAACATCAGGAAGCTCTAAACTCAAGTTTTGCACACAATAGTGAGAGAAGCACTCCTTGTTAAGGTTTTGTTCCTGACAGGGAAAAACCTGAAACTCCAGTAGTGTTTAAAATGATTGTGTGAAAACAGCGGCAGTACCTCTGTTTCTCTGAGAGACTCATCTTAGAGAGAGAGTCCTTTCCTCGCTCCTCTGACATCACTGCAGCTAAACAAGTGCAGACAGATCAGCACGGGTTTGTAAAACAGTCAGCTCAACATGACCTGGAGATGACAATATGTTAATGAGATATCACAAACAAATATACTTATTAAAGGATAATTCTCGACCAGCTGTAAATTAAATGATTTTAAAACCATTTTTATATTTAATTAGTTCACGTCACTGAAAGCAACAGATAGGCTATGAGCTACATTTTATTTATCATCACCTCAAATCAAAATCAAGAGAGCGTCAACAGTCCTTCTAAGATCATTTCATTTAATTTTATTGAAGATGATTGTGTGTTAATCGTCTGCGATTTACTTTCACTTTGTGATAGTTTGCACGTTGACTTGATGTAGCCGCCATTTGGGGAAATGGACATTTGAGGCGGCAAACTGTATTGCAGTTTAATAATTTTTTTTTACACTCATTTATTTCCAAAAATTGTTTATTTCTTTAATAAATTAGGCTACTTTTCTTTTCATTTTTTATTTGATCAAGCCCCAAGTTCACAATTTATTTTATTATTGTTTAAAATGGTCCTAAATTAATTTGTACATTGAAAGAAAACGTATAGGCTGCACCGAATATACTAATTAATATCTGTGTGAATCAAAATATTATATTCAGTAGATCATTATTAACATTTATTATTTAAATAATTGTTTGACCTAATCGAACATTCACTATGAGGTTTATCTGCCTTATCTCTTAAGGTCAATTTTAAAATACTTTCGATTTCGCATTACATAACAGCTACAGGTGTATGCAATACTTGCTTTATGCAAGCACTATACAGGATTTGCCCTAATCAACACAAAAAGATGTCAAACAGCCCCCAACAAATAGTCTATAAATAGGCTGTCTTTAAATTCACTTGAAAAAGGGTTAAATTACTCGTCAAGCTACAGAAGAATACCATAAGTCCTCCGTTCAATTAGGCCTAAGAGATCAAGAGTCATGCAGACCTATAATTATAGAGGACCAAACCAAATAATAAATATAAAGAAATGTAAAAAATAAAATAAATAAATGACTATTTATACTTTTATTTCCCTATTTGTGTATAATTATATATTTTCCCACATTTATTTATTTTTACATTTATTTATTTATGCATTTATTTATTCACATTTATTTATGTATATTTGCATTTACTTCTACATTTATTTATTTCTACATTTTTTGCTCTGTATGCTAATGAGGGGGCCATGTTTTACAGACATAGCAATCAAGCTAAGAGTGACAGTGCTGAAGCTTTGAGGACACAGTGACACCTTGTGGTGTGACCAAACACTGCGCAAGAAGTTTGTGGACGTGACTTTACAGATGTCACAGGAAATAAAAGACTAGGAGATGGGCAATATGGCCAAAATTTTATATCACAGAATCATGGTTTATGTCCATTAACTTTATTGTCTGGGTACACATGAACAGCATCAGCTGATAACAGACACTTTTACACGGAAGCGCATCAAATGAAATTTAGCTTGAAGCTAATTCTGGTATGGCTGAAAGACATACACTGTCTCCGTTAAATAAAATAATAATAAATTATCCACTAGTAACCATGTTATGCCATGCATTGTAGATCCGTTTACAGAAGCTAACTGCATTTTAAATGCATCTTCCAAAAACAATGTTAACAGCAACAAACTTTTCCATAAAGAGGTGACATTTCCGCTATCATTTGAATTCCTGGGGCATTTTTAAAATCCTTATTAGATAAGGTTTAATTAAGGTTTATTTTATATTTAATCAGCACAATTTACTGCAATGTCAGAACCAGAACAAAAGTGGAAGTTACTTGTTCAGATGACATTTTCCAGTGAAAATGATTATATTGGGCAATGGGCATACTTTCAAAAACAATTATCTGTGATTCTGAATGCCAATCTCCACACTGGTGGTGACTGACAGACACACTCTCCTCAAACATTGTGTTCATCCACGCTATGCCATGTCGAGGGTGTTGAAGTACATCACATAAAGTTGATAATTCCGCGAATGACTACAATTGCAGATTTTCGAACAGAGATGGAGACAGAGGAAAAACGCCGGAGTGCAGCTTTAAAGGGTAACTAAACCCCTGGTCAGACCCTGACTCCAACCACTGGCAATATTTGAAAAATGGGCAGAGGAGATTGAGGGGACGAACTGAGGGCGGAGCTGAGCGGGGGGCGTGCACCTGAGACCCGCGGTGACTGTTTATTTGACAGCTGCTGTCACACTATAAAATGGAGAGTGACTGGAGTGACACAAGTAGCTTTGCAACATTTTACATCAGCTCTCACCCTTTACGTCACGAACCACCGCAAACATCTAATAGGAAAATTCAACTGCAGTAGCCACCGTTCAACCTAAAGAGGGCAGCACTCAAATGTTTTAACCATAGACAGTCTAAGAAGTGGACAGGGTCATCTCATTGGAACTCCATTGAGACAAGTGAAGCCCTTTTTTGGGCGACTTTTTAGCACTTCCATCCCTGACGCGCAGACTCAAACCGACTCAAACAGAGCTTGACGACATAGAAGTGACGTGAGCGACTCGTCTGTCTTCTAGTGGCTGTGGCATGAGAAATCTGAATCATTCCCTTCCTAAACTTGCAGAGGCGGAGAGTGTGAGTAGGAGCTGTCCATGAGCTAGGAAAAGGAGACACTTTTGATAGGTATTCTAATTAATTATTTTGTCATTTTGCCTCCACGTTTCCCCGATTGCCCGCGAGCTTCTCCTCCTGTCCATACGGTAATCTCTCTACTATGCGACAGAGATTCGCTTGGTTATGACGCAATCATTAGCCTACTTTTACAAAAAAAACTGCTTATACAGGGCCATAACATAAGCTACAAGGTAATGGAGCATTTTATACATTGTCGTGTTTCTTTAGAAATAAATAAAGGACAAATGGGGTCTTCAAACGCCTCAGATGTAAAGTTATTCGCTGTCAAAGTGACGCCAAAATGAATGGGAGTCAATGGGAATGCTAACGCAAGTGAAGTTCCGCTAAAAGATGGCAGCTCCCGCGAGGCTTCAACCTCCGGTCGATGGATTACCCCCTTGGTTTTAACACCATAATTTGAAGAATTAAAACATTTTATACCCAAATGTCAAAAAAGTTACTCGAATCAATGAACAGCCCTAATAAAGCCCCATTCTAACAGATCATAAACTAAAAAAAAAGTTGGTTTACCCCTGTTAAAGTTTAGGGTTTAGTTACCCTTTACGTTTAACTGGTCAACTTAGTTAATAAAGCACTAATATGGCTGTTACTAGGCAAATAAACCAGTTGATTTTATTTGCCTAAATAGCTAAGTAAAGTCAATGGACACAAAACGTGATATTTGGCCTTAGAAAAAAATAAATAAATAAATGTGAGAAATATATAATTATACATAAATAGGGAAATAAAAGTATAAAAAATATTGTTTGTTTTTTACATTTCTTCGAGTATTTATTCATAGGTTTGGTCCTCCATATATAATAACAACCCAGCAACAACATATAATTGGGAATAACATGCCTTACCTTAACACAGAACGGATTTTAAGCACTTCACGCGGAAATCAATGGACTCCAACGTTTATTTTTATTTTCTACAAATTATCATTGGAATTTGCAGAGTAGCGCCACCACACTTTAATGCTCATAGAGCTGGTAAGTCCCGCCCATCCGTAAATCTAGGTTGAAAAAGCGTCAATGCAAGTGAATGAGAGAAAATAATTACTTTCTGATCCCATTTGAATTGTGCCATGAATGTGACATATGTTGTCGGTGAATTTTTTATATAATTTCTCATGTAACAAGTTTGACAGTATATTGTATGATTCTTTGGCTAGCAGTTGTGGAATAGACATAACGAGAAAGACTACACGTCGCATATGTGACGTCGCCGCATAACACATTTTCCCTCCACAAATCACGTTTTTCACCATGCTCAACTAGTTTGTCCTCGCCCTGAAAGAAGGTGGTGAAGTGCACCAAAGACACGGGCATGTTTAGCGGGATACATACAGTCGGCAACGCATCATTGTTGGGGGGCGTGGTCGGCGTGGGGGAAAGCAGCGCGACCATCCTATGTATTTGAATGACAAAAATGTCATATTGCGAGTCATTTATGCCTGCCGACCGGCAATGGTACATTGCAAAATTAACTGTAATAGGTAATGATTGCCCTTATTTAATTAAAAACTGGGTCAATGACCCAACCAAATGGCCGGAGGTGTCGTTTCCAGACTATTATATCTGGTTGAATCTTCAGGTAAGACATCGCGGAAGCTAACGGCAACACAAGCCTATATTACTCAATCAACTTGCGTATAAGTTACTATAAGTCCATAAAACCTTGTCACTTACTAATTGTACGTATGCTTCACTCCAAATTATTAATCCTTTTGTAAAACGGTGATCAGTAGTAACTATGAAGTTGCAGAGGGACTTTGCTGACATCCGAATTCTCACGGACTGCAACCTGATAAACTTCAGCTAATAACGCTAATGTGAATGAGACATATCCCTTATGAAAAACAACTAAAGGAATCTTGTAGTATTTTAGGACAAAATATTATAGTAACGTTAATCCTATAGGAATACTATAGTATTTTGGGACATAGCCTAGAAGTATAGAGGTATTAAAGAACATCACAGAAGTATTATACACTACTATAGAATACTAATAGCCATAGGATTACTATAGTTCTTTTTCGTAAGGGATGTAACGTCAGACAAATCTGGCCCACTGCCTAATACGAGTTAAACATCTACTACTATATCACACAGGGATCTACTCACACAGTAATCTAATAAGATATGATTAATTTTGCCATTTTGTTCTCCTATCCGGTTCTGTATGTATGTAAGAAAGGATGTAGAACTTCAATTTATAATTTGTTAGTTTATTGGTGGTACAGAAAACAACACAGCAACTCTTTGGCATGATTGTCCCATATATTTCAATGAGCGTCAAGGCAATGTTTTCCCCCACGGGTTAAATTCACATCACGTGATGGGGCGTTCCCGGGGGCGTTCCCAGACCAACCGACTGTATCTATCCATGTGCTAG